TTTTTTTTTTTTTTTTTTTTTTTTTTTTTTTTTTTTTTTTTTTTTTTTTTTTTTTTTTAGTTTAATAAAAGTAAATGGATTAGAATTATTGGCCTCGATATATATATATTAATCAGTAAAATTAGATTCAAATTGATATAAATTTATAAATTAACATTGAAAAAACAATAAATTAGTGCTGTGATGTCCCACATTGGCTGGAGAACAGGGTGTGGAACCCTTTCTCTAGCAGACGTGTAATAGACGTGTAGGATGTGGAACCCTTCCCCCCTAGAAGACGTGTAGGGTGTGGAACCCTTCCCCTAGCAGACGCTTCTCCTATCAGATGCGTAGGGTGTGGAACCCTTCCCCGAGCAGATGCGTTTTAATCGAGAAAGCCTAAAGAGTGGAAGTTCGAAAGAAAAAGCCCAAAAATGACAATATCTACTAGTTGTGGATCTGGGTCGTTAAAGGAGAAAATTGGAGGGCATTCATAAAAACCCACCATGCTATTGAATTTGGATATATGTCCAAAACCCAATTAAACATTGAGAAGAAAAAAATGTGACACAAAATACTTTATTTTCTTATCCCTATGGTATGTTGATTGTTTAGGAAGAACAATATGAATATCAATCATCATTCACAAGCTTCAAATAATTCTTCAACTCACAAGGAAAACAAGGGCTACGCCTCCATGAACTCCCATGCATCTTCAAAATCTTGATCACCTTCTCCTTTGTTGAACTCCGGCCACCGCCACCGACACCGCTGCAGGCCATGTGAAGTATCATCAGCAGCTTCTTCACTGCCCCACAAGCCATCATCTCCTCCACAACCCTCTCCTTGGGGTGAAAACTACTAATCCAAAACAAGATCTTGACCCCAATTTTTGTTGCTACATTTGAAACGTTCAAAATCTTCTTAGTCACAGCCGCTATTCCCATCCCATGTTCCACCAAAGCCAATCTCCCCTCTGCACATTCACATAAACTCTGCAGAATCTGCAGCATTCTCTCGCATTTCGATCGGCTTGACTCCGGTAAGAGCTCGATCAGGATCCACACGGCACCAGCCTCGATCGCCTTTACTCGGCTCCTCTTCGATGACGCTAGAATTTCTATCATTACATCCAATGCGCACGAGCTTGACTTGGTGGGAAATTCGTCTGATACAAGCTCCAACAATGGCTTGAAGAGATCAATGCCCTGTTCTTCCATGACAAATCCCCAATTGTAATTGGTGTTTTTGGCAATATTTCTGAGGATTTTCACGGCGTAAAAACGCCCTTCTGCACTCCCCCTTTGTAGAACAATAGCTACGGATTTCATCAATTCTTCTCTCTTAGACATTTCGTCGAACAGTTCGTCTTCATTTGAAATTGGAAACTGAGACAGAACTCCCAAAGCCTCCTCACAGGCCTCCAACGTCGAGAAATCAGAACAATCAATGAGAATTTGAACCACAACATTTACAACAATCCCTATCCCATTCAATCGAATAAATTCCGATTTCACCTCATCCCTCATTTCGATCATTGATCGCAATTTCCTCAACGAACTCACCTTAAACGGAGAAGACTCAACAGTGGCAAGAAGCGATTGGACTTGATCGATCGCCGTCGCCGGCGACGAGGAAGACTCGTTGATTTTCCAAGCGAGTATGACGCGTTTGAGCGTGAGATTAGGAGTCATGACGAAGTCGTTCTCGCCGACGGCGACGGTCTGCATCGTCGCCGGACACGTTCTTTTGTTGTAAGTGAAGAGCCATTTTTCGATGCTCTTTCTCTCGTAGGTGACGCCGGTGGAGATCGTAACGGGATCTTCCATGAGCTCCATGGAAATGGGGCATCGGAAAAGAGGAGGAAAATCGGAATCCATTGATGATCGAAGGTTTGTATCTGCAAAACGCTCCATTGGCGAGAAGACGAGAAGAGGGTCTTATAGGGAATCTCTTAACCTTTTGACAATTTTTATTTTAATATTTTCCTAAAAAATAAATAAAAGTCAAACGAAAATCGGTTGGTTTTGCTAGCTGTTATGTTATAAATGGGAAGCAATACGAAACGTCTATGTATTTTAAATAAATTAAATTTTATTTCTTCGTATTTGCAATATTCCCCCTCATTTTTTGGTTTTTCTCTAATTTTCCCTAAAATTTTTGTATAATTATTTTTTACCTCGTAGACATCGATTAAAAATTTTAAAATTTTAAAATATTGAGTATTCGGGTCTCAATATTTTTATTAAATATTTATAAAAGTCAAGGGTAATATTATTATTGACAATAAATAAATAAATATATATATATATATATTCCCGAATAATAATTATAATAAAAAAAGATTACGTCACAAATACAAAGAAAATATAAGCTCGACTTTTCAATCTCGAGCCATACAAATTCAACCCCTTTATGAAGTAAAAATTATTATTATTATTCCCACAAAATAGTTTAATTTATTTTAAAATCATATGCAAATTTGAATATGACCATTTTTGTTAATATATATTTTTTAATTTTTTAATGATAAAAAAAGAGGAGAATTGTGATGGACATACCAAAAATGCAATATTTCCACCAAAATATACCAAAATTGAAATTTGACCATTTTTATTTGGTAATTTTATCATTGTTCTCTTTAATTTGTTGTTGAACCAACTCAGCCCTAATTGCATGAGTTGGGTGCATCACATGTAGGGCATGCACACATTTTTTATTGCTTTCAAACCAGCCCAACAATTTTATTAAAAAAAAAAATTCGGAACGGATATTCCAGCATAGCTCGACGTTAATTAACATCCATTATTTCCGTTCATATTAAAAATTCAACAAGGTTAGGAGTCAAGAGCAGTATAGCTCGGTGGATGTTTCTTTCGTATTAGAAGTTCAAATCTATACTTCACATTTGTTGTCGAGATTAAGAGTCGAGAGTAGTATAAATTGATGGTAGTTGGCATTTGTTGTTTTCTTTTATATTGGAAGTTCGAATCTCAATACCCCATATTTACTTAACTAAAATTTATCGTAAATTATAATAAAATTATGATGAAATTACCGTTTTAGCCTCAAAATTAGTGGCATATATATATATATATATATGTAGTTTATGGGTTTGACTTTATAAAAGTTTATATATATAATTTGAATCAATTAAAAAAAAAAAGGTGAAAATAAAGCAAAGAAGCAAAATAGAGACTAAGGTTGGGAAGTTGACTTTTGAAAAAGGGGAAAGTATTGTAAATTGAATTAGATCCGAAAGACTTGCTGAGCTTAACACAATTTTATACCTATTTTCATTATTTGAATTTTATTTATTTATTTATTTAAACCAAAAATGTGGGAAAATGTTTATTCATTAATCCTCTCTGGACACTTGAATCAGTCTAAATTATTTATTAATTTATAATAATAATAATAATAATAATAATACTAAATAATCACATTTCCGTAGGTTGAAACAAAAGTCGATGCTTTTATGTCTCGTCTATTTTTTTCATTTTAATATATTTTGATAATTATCAAATTAAATGATAAATAAATATTTTATTTTAAATATGCCTAATAAATCACAAAATTTTTAATTTTGAGCTTAATATAAATATATATATATATATATATATTTGTATATATTTTAAAAAGAAAACTGAACTAGCAAATATATAAAATTATTTGTTTAGGGATAATATGATTTTTTAGTTTCAAATTAAACCTAATAAATTTGTGAATTTTAAAAAGAGTTAAATATTTCTGGAGGACTCAATACCTGTAGCTCAGAGGAATAGACCATTTGGCTACAAACCATGGTGATTCGAATTCCCATCACGGGCTAAAAAGGAAATGGGGAGTAAAAAAATCACGATTGGGACAGCGGACCCAAAGCTAGCTATGGAGCTTAGGTGTGGGCCTTTTGTCAAAACGAAATGGTATTACTCGAGCTTAGCTCAATAGATAAGACACTAAAAGCTATAGAACTTAGATGTGAGCTTTTTGTAAAACGGAAGGTCTTAATTGAGCTTACCTCGATAGATAAGACACCAATTATGATTTTATTCGTTTTGAAAGTATAGAACATGAAACGAGAAGGAGAAGGAAGAGAACCTTCTAATTTATTTGAACCAGAATTCCAGTACAGAACTGACTACAGACGACACAAGGAGAAGGCAAGACATGTCATATCATACATGTTGTTCTTGCTGTGTGGGCTTAAATAGTAAGAACACCATTATATAGTACATAAAAACTAAACTTCTTCCTGTGTGGTGATGAACAGTAGAGAACACCCATCACGCAGCCACGCTGGACTTCTTAGTGATTTTAGCCATGCAATTGTCCTTGGGCCTCGAATGGGGCAGATACAGGATTTCACAGTCAGGGGTCAGCCATTCAAGACTGTAATTTTCAACCCAACCAACAACAAATCAATGTAAAAACTCATTAGCTTCCAAGAACAGAACAAGAACCAGAAGAACAAGAACACGAATAAGAAGAACAAGAACACGAACACGAACAAGAAGTGTAATACTACTACTTACTTGTAGTTGAGGAGAAAATAATGAACGAAAATGCAGATCTCCAACTTGGCTAGATCGTTTCCTGGGCATAGCCTGCTTCCTGCTCCAAATGGAAGAAACTCTCCTGCTTTTGGAACAAATCCCTGTATGCCAAACACACAGTGGATTTAACGTATTAGAGATGGGTTGGTTTCCTTTGATTCTTATAAAAGGGTTTAAAGAAACTGTGGTTTTTGTTTAACTTACATCCCATCTTGAGGGTTCAAATTTCTTTGGGTCTGGGTAAACTTCACTGTCGTAGTGAATGCTTCTGAACCAAGCCAGCACTTTCCAACCCTTGGGAATTAGATAACCTGCAGCCACCACACACAGACCATACATACAATCATGACATAGAAAGAGACCGTTGTAATCCCGCTACGGATTTGAAAATCAGCATTGTAATGACCCAAGCTCACAGCTAGTAGATATTTCCCTCTTTAGGCTTTCCTTTTCGAAGCTATAAAACACATCTGTTAGGGAGAGGTTTCCTGTAATAGCTCGAGCTCACCACAGATATTGTCTTCTTTGGGTTTTCCCTTTCAGGTTTTCCCTCAAGATTTTTAAAACGCGTTTGCTAGGGGGAGGTTTCCACACCCTTATAAAGAACGTTTTGCTTTCCTCCCCAATCGATGTGGGATCTCATAACCCACCCCTCTCCCCTCGAGGCCCAGCATCCTTGCTTGTACTTGTTCCCCTCTCCAATCGATGTGGGGTTTCACAAGCATACCCCTAATAATTACCCGATACTAATTCAAGATACTTTTACAGTTCATGAACTCTAAGATGCCCAATGACGCTAAACCAAAACTTTGATGTCTCTTGCAAATAACCACATTGTTCTAATCCAAATCATCTAGTAATTTAGAAAGAGAGACAGAGAGAGAGAGAGATATACCATTGAGGTTGACATCCATTTGTGCCTCTCTGAAAACAACAAGGGAGAATGATACATAGCGAAGAGTCTCATCAACAACTTTTGAGAGATATTCCATGTCCCGGCATTCTTTCAATGTTAATCCCGTTTGACCTGCAGGCCTGTTCCTCACAATCGCTTCCTGTTCTTCCTGTTCAGTTTTTAAACAAATTGCTATCAGGATTGATCTCATATGAGAAAATATGGCATGATCTTGAGTAACCAAACAGGCTAATTAAGTTCCTAATTGTGTACTTACCCTGGCTTTCTTGAGAACTTCAGGGTGTTGATTCAACAAAATAGTCGCCCACATCATGGTGTGGCCTGAAGATTCATGGCCTGCATTCAAGTACATAATCAGAATATCGATGATCTCCTCGTCGTCCAATTTCCGGCCATTTTCATCTACAATATCGATCAGTTGGTCCATCATGTCCTTCCTCTTCGGCGCCCATTTGTCCAATTTTTGCCGTCTTCGCTCAGTCACAATTCCTTTCAGCGCAGCCACAAGATTCTTCCGAGCCTAAACAAGTAATAGGTGGTTTAATTGATCGAACAAATTCCAGAACCCAAACTACATTTTCGAAATTGATTTGAGGCAAATTATCAAATACCTTGAGTGCTTTGTGGTAAGCAAATCCAGGTAGGTTAATTCTCATGGCTCGAACTCCATAGTTAAGCCGAGTATACTCCTTCTCCAACATCTCCATCACCGGTTCGCTCTCAGAGCTTAGGAAAATGTACATGATAACGGTGAAAGTAAGCTTACGAAGTTGAGTTAAGAATTCGATGGGCCCCATTTTAGACCATTTCTCCAACGATTCCAATACATTCTTTTCGATGTAAGGAATGTAATTGCTCAGCGCCTCGAACCCGTTCACCGGAGCAGAGGTTAAGCGGCGGAGACGCTTGTGTTCTTCTTGCGGCATTTGAATGAAAGACTTCTCTCCAATGAGCTCTACCGCCGCGCGTGGCCAGCCAGGCTGGAACGCTTCGTCGTCCGTCAAAACTTTCCGGCATGTCTCCGGCGTCGTCACGACCACGCTAGGGTTTCCAAACAAATGAACCTTGTACACTCCGGTTTTCCCATACCTGTAATTAATTATTAGAATTACATTTTCATAAAATATGGTATCATCAGATATTTAAATTTTAATTTAAAATTTTTATATCTTTATTTTATTTGTCATAAATATAAAAAATAATATTATTTTTATTTTTATTTTTTAAAATTTTAACGCATTATGTTTGTAAGGAAACCTAGAGAATGATGAGACGAGGATTCCTAGAATTGAGCAAACATAATATCAGAAATTGTCCCCTTTGCCCCAAAAAAAAAAAAAAAAAAACAATTAAATAAATAAATTGATCATTAATCATATGTATCCATACCGACATGGAAATCATCCCAATAAATACTATTTTCAATTTATTATTTTTTAAAGATTTACAAATTCAACCCAATTTTTTTAACAATATGTTTAAATAGTGGATGAAAGTCGACTCAATTATTTAATAATATTGAAATTATTTGTTTAAAATTTAATAAAACTTTTAAAAAAACAAAAAATAATAATACTCGACTCGGCTCAACCAACTTATTTGAACCATGTTTAGATCGGATTGGCCTGTCAAGACCCAATGTGTCAGCCCAATTATACGCGTATGTATGTATGTATGTATATATATGGTTTTTCGTATATTATATTTTATACTAAACTTTTTAGTATTTTAAATACAATTTTATAATTAAGAGATTTGGATTATAAATTTGACCATTCAAAATAAGTTGAAGGTAATTTGTTTTAATTTTAAATTCTAAAATAAAAAATAATTTATTATAGTTTAAAAATTGAATTATATAGATGAAACATAAAAACATTGACACATTTTATAAAACCATTAATTTTGGTCATGAACATAGAGGGAAAAAAATGATTTATTATTTATTGGTCTCAATATTTGTTTTTTTTTTTTTTTTCTTATTTTTTAAAATAAGGCGATGACGACAAAACCAATAAAAAAAGAAAAAGAAAAAAAAAAAAAAAAA